AGCTGTATCTGTGAAAAAGATTCCAATGGCACTTCTGTAAAACTGTAGAGGTTCACATGGGTTCAGCATGATACTTTAGGTGAAAGCAGCAAACTTATCAATCCTCTGAGAAATCAAGCAGCTTAAGCAAACTGTCTTTCCTGGCCAGGAAATGGGCAGGCTGCTCAAACACTAACTGCCTGCATCAACATCTTTCAAGAGGTGCCATTTATAGGTATTCAAGGTCCTGAGAAACAGGTGAGAGATGTAGGAAGGGATGCCAGATGTTCTTGTGGCTGAAACAGAGAGAATGAGAAATGTGGGGTGGGGTAAGGGGGAGTACTCTAAACTAAAGCTGGCTGGGTATTTGACCTTGTGTGTAGCATTTCTCAGAAACAATCATATCTCAGAAACAAACATATTACACCTCAGTAAGTTCCTTTGCACCTCCCCCTGGTTTGATGGTGTTCAGCCGCAACCTCAAGCTCCACACACACTCTCCGTCACACAACCCAAGCTGTCTTCAAAACTTACTGAGCAAGACTGACTTTGCACCTGTTGCATGTGATTGTCTTCAATGACAATTTTTACTATGTTAAAGTATGTGCTTGTGAAATTGACAAGTCTATAATAATAAACTTCTTAACCTTCTGCAATTTTTGTATGTTATAGGGGAGACCAGGGCAAATGCAAATGACCATTAGATTAATGCATGCTTTCAAACATTGTTCTTAAATTTGTTAATTCTAAAAAAAATGTAAATTTATTTTTGTATCATTTATATAGGCCTAATGCTTTTTGTTAAATAATATTTTTGCTGCTTCATGACTTGTTAATTAATTTTGTTTGTTTCGCTGAAAAGCCATTTATAGGCTTTTTAATAGTTCAGTCAGTGATCACCTTTAGCCTACGGTAACCTTTATCTTTTCCTCTCGGCATTAACAGTGGAAATATTCAGTTTCTGCCAAGACTTCAAGATATGCCTAAACTTACTTTCAGAAATAAACTGAAATTAGATATATATCAAGCTATTCACTGGATTAAGTGTTAATGGTTATATAGGAACATTTGCAGTATTCGATTAAAATAGTAATAATTTGTTAAACACTATGACGGTTTCAAAATTTGGGAAAAGTTGTAATATAATCTGTTGATTGTAAACCAAAAAATACTAAATCCATAAGCCTATTTTTGTCAAATAAATAAAGTTGTCTAGAGGCTACTAAAATAGGCCTACTCAACAGAGTCCTAGCCGCTTCCTAGACTTTAGAATTGACATGTTTCGTGCTGCAGGCATGGAAGGCAAACAAAACAATTTTCCAAACCTCTGGGTTTATTTAATTTGCTTCGATTTTGTGCTTTTACAACCTTAGACCCCTTATTAATGTCAGTCAGTTAATGACTTTTGTTTGCTTTGTCATCATCACTTTCATGAAGTTTCCTCATCTTTCTCTCGCATTTCAAACAAACATCTTTGCGCCAAAACGTTCCTTGCGTGAACAGTCATTTCCCAGAAACATTATAGTCAGAACTCTACAATAAATGGATCCGTGTAAACAATGTAGCATACTATTCTACATTATGAGGCAACTAACCAGAAATGTATGTGTACTGCTGCCCCCCACTGAGCAGCAGTGACACTCGCAGCGGTGACCCGCTCCTGCCCTCTACGACAGCAGGACAAGAGCAGTACAATAAGCAGATGCTCTGCTAATCAATGCCACATTTCCAGTTCCAGCAATGATAAAAGAAACAGAACTAGCATCTGATCTATGTTCAATCACCATATTAATCACTCTGCTGCAATCAATCAGTTTTATTTCCTTCTGCCTAAACCTTATCGTTTCAGTGTAGCTATTTGGATCGCTCGTTGCGCGTTTGTTAGTGCAATGAGAAATTTGGATGTCAGCAAACATTGTGATAAAGAAAATAACTATGAGCTCATAATTTACATTCAAAGCCCTGCTATAAATGGATAGTTCACCCGAAACTGAATAAATAAAGAAATACATAAATATTTGTCCTCATCACAGAAGAAAGCAAGTCACCAGTTTTAAACGACGAGTGGATTTTCCCTTTAGCATTTTAGACAGGCTTCCAAAATGATTGAAAAACCGTGGACAGAATGAAAATGAATCTAAACTCACTTTCAATTGCTTTTATGTCTATTAGCCTATATCTTATGTAATTATTTGTATGTGCATAAAACGATTTAAAAACTGAGACATAACATTAGCCTGCGTGTTATAGGCTAGTGCTAAACTGTTAGTGTCTTACAGACTGATGTGCAATAATTGGATATGTTTCATTGCAAAAGCATGAAAAACACTTTCCAAAAAAGATCTGTAAAGCTGATTTGGATTTTTACAAAATTATCTTTGAAATACACGATCATGAAAAAAAAGGATGTTTCTTTTTTTTATCTGAATTATTAGAACTCATGATTAGTGCATTTTATTAAAAGACTGCTGCAAGGAGGGTTATTTAAGGACAGCTCATGTGAGACGTCAAACTAGCCAATGATGATGAGAAGCAGTGTAATGTCTTCATTTCCCAGATACCCCTGCTGATTCCTGATGTTGTTGTCATACTCATTCTGAGTCACAGTAAAAAGCCAAAGCAATCTTATCCAGGTGTTACAGTCCAGAGCTTTGTTGACCCCCTCAGACATGGTGAGAGCTCTGTTAAAGAATCATGCTTCATTTTCCTCACCACATGTGCCACACGGAGAGAGACACTGGCACTCTGCTGGATTGCTGCTTCACCAGCAGTGCTTACATGATTAAAAACAAACAGCATGACTGAAGTAGGCTATACAATGCGATATTTGACCAATCCCACTGAGAATATATGGATGGACTGGACATGAAAAGGGCTGTCCACTAGACTAGACACGAGATGGGAAGGAATTGACGTGGCCAGATATGCAAAGGTGATGTTTTCACAGACTCAAGGTTGTAGATACTGCCTTGAGGCCTGCATGGGAAAACGATTGTGAAAAATATTTTGTAGTTTTCTAGAACTGATCAATTTTGACTTAAATCCTGTAATAGAGTTAATTTTTTGGTTCAAAACAAGAATCGAATTAGTATTAAAAGAGTAGCCCATCTGTCGGATAAAATATGCATCCAGACGATCCAGACAAAACCGACAAAACTACCGCTTTCCCACAACCCACAAAATTATTTTGCATCCCATGCAAGTCTTTGGGGATGCAAAATAATTGTTCTCTTACGAGAGGTTCTCTCGTATTCTGTAAGCTAGCTTACGCTACGGGAAATATTCATCTTTTCTGAGAAGGTGAAGCCAAAAAATTATCCAATAATTTGTATCCATTGTCAACGCAGTTCAACTGCAGCAGACGATGAGCGGGCTAGCTAGCAGCTCATTGGTTCGCTCAGGGAGAACTGCTACAGCCTATGGGAGAACTCGGCTGAACTCGCGGCCAATGAGAAGCCGATACGCTCTCATTGCGTCAAAGCCCGCCAAAAAGGGCGTGGCTCGAGTGTATAAATATGCGAGATCTCCCGCTGTTTAACTGATTTATCATCTCTTCACTTCAGCGAAACTACACCCATTTGCTGTCTTGAGAAGAAGTCGAGAAGGCATCTCTGACGACCATCTGGAATCTGAGGAAGCCGGCCGTCTTCGCCACCTTCAGCCGTCCTGCAAGCTAGGGTCATCCTTTTCCTGGCATACTGTGCATCTAAAAGAGCGCGAGCGTCTTTATCAAGATGCCTCGCATTTCCTGCGATTCTTGCCGGAACATCTGGAGTCTGAGGAAGCTGGCCACCTTCAACCGTCCTGCAAGCTAGCGTCATTCTAAAACGGTATGCTTTTTCCTGGCATACTGTGCATCTAAAAGAGCGCGAGCGTCTTTTTCAAGATGCCTCGCATTTCCTGCGGTTCTTGACGGAGCATCTGGATACCGAGGAAGCCGGCCGTCTTCGCCACCTTCAGCCGTCCTGCAAGCTGGGGTCATCCTTTTCCTGGCATACTCTGCATCTAAAAGAGCGCGAGCGTCTTTTTCAAGATGCCTCGTATTTCCTGCGGTTCTTGCCGGAGCATCTGGAGTCTGAGGAAGCCGGCCACCTTCAGCCGTCCTGCAAGCTAGCGCCAGCCGATGACAGTATCATTTCCTTTGCTTACTCTATATCTAAAAGAGCGCGAGCGTCTTTTTCAAGATGCCTCGCATTTCCTGCGGTTCTTACCGGAGCATCTGGAGTCTGAGGAAGCCGGCCGTCTTCGCCACCTTCAGCCGTCCAGCAAGCTAGCGCCAGCCGACGACAGTATGATTTTTCCTTGCATACTCTGCATGTAAAAGCATTTCTCCCTTGCGAGCACCAAAACGCCGTTTTCACGGCGACTCAGAGAAATCTCGAATAGATTTCTGCACGTAAAAGAGCATTTCCCGCTTACGAGCACCAAAACGCCGTTTTCACGGTGACTCAGAGAAATCTCGAATAGATTTCTGCACGTAAAAGAGCATTTCCCGCTTACGAGCACCAAAACGCCGTTTTCACGGCGACTCAGAGAAATCCCGAAAAGAGCATAATAGCCTCGTGTGTAGAAAATGTGCCCTTAATCCTTTGTTCACCCATACACAAAAGCACCACATGTTCCATGTGTCTCCCAGAGCCCACCCCTAAAGAGCGGACACAGCCCGCTCGAGTGTCAGAGTGCATAAATGCGCCCACGAGCCCGTGTGTGCGTCCCCCCTCTGCACGCTCTGTTACACCGCGCATAAACTCCTCTCTGAGTGTAAGTCCCGTTGCCACAAACGCTCTAAGCGCCCTCACACACTGTTCAGCCCGCTATGTACAGCAGTCAGGGCGATATAGCTATTCACCCGCTAGCGTTACGCTTCAAAGCGTGGGAAGCTATTTCGGGAATCTACCCGTGGGTATTAAGCACAATAAAGTACGGCTATCGGCTAATGATGAAACTAACTAACTAGATTTTTTCATGTAAAAGTGGTTAGTTTTAAAGAGCGTCAAAGAAAACCACTTTCAGTTGAGACATCATTAGAAAACACATGGCTGCTTTTATTTGAAACACATTTTCATATTTCGTCTTTCAATCTAGAAATACACTGATCATGCAATTTACAGAAAATAATTCAATAGACACTCATACAAACAATTACAACACATTTTGATATTCCATTTTCAACTCTTCATAATCATGATTCATACCTCATACTTAATTTAAAATGGTACAAAATTAAGCACATTAATTACTGTACCGCTATAGTACGGCTTGACTAAAACAAACCAGAATTAATAGTAGCAAACAGCATCTGCATTATCTACAATTATCTATTTACAATGCTTCACTTTGAGATCATCACTCAGGCTACGAGTTTCCTTTGGTCATGCATGACAATCAGCTTCACCAAATAAAATACAAACTGACACACAAGTGTTTTTAGTGGTGAACCCACCAGAACACTGATGTACCATCTAGACAGGAAACGAAGAAAAATACTGTTATTAATAGGGTAACTGAAATCAACAGGCCAACCTGGATGTAGAGCTTCACAAAGCAATATTTCAGACATCACATCTGTTCACACAAGAACAAGTTGCTTGTAGTCAAAGCTCAAGAATCAGTAGTGATGTTTGTTTAATAGCGATAAAAGTGCTTGCAACTGAAAAAAAAAGAGACTCACGATAAATGTGAAATGCCGCTCCCTCTGGTGACTGTGCAGACATGGAATGAAATGAAACTACACAACTCTTTAGATGGCAAAATAAGGCTTTCAAATGATTGGCCAGGACATGAGAAATGAAAACCAGAATGGTTTCTACTATTACCAGCCATTATTTACGCAGGCACTGGTATGTGTTTCACATTGGTACAAAATATTGGTTTTGTATGTTTGTTATGTTTATTCAGTCTCATCCACACCACACACACACCCACCCATGTCTTGTTCAAGAACAGCTTCGGTCAAGCCAGAGGTTCCTTCAATGACATTTAGGTTTGGTACAAGTCGGTAGCACGTTCAGCAGGTTTCACAGCAGGTTGTGTTTATACAGCATTATTGATCAATGGTCTCTCACTGTCACAGAGAAAATGTAGCAAGTCAGGAACGGCAGAGACGCACTCGATCTTGAGTTCACGGGTTCATCGGGTTGAGAGTCTGTCCGGTGAAAAGGCTGGTTCAGTCGAACTCCTCAGAGCTGGGTTTATCTGACCACCATCACAGGCCTGAGGACTGAGCCGAGTAATAGGGGCTATTAACCTGGAAGAGCAGAGAGGATATTCCTGAGCACAGTCGAATAAAGATAAACAGTGAAGGTTACGTTTGGTCACAGACTGGCTGAGGGGCACTGATGCACTCTAAAAAGACAGAAGGCAAATTGGAAAGAGGTTTCTTATTACCACAGCATAAGCTCAAGACACACCTACATCCTGGAGAGCTTGGCACAAATATGAAGGTAGATCTAAATCTAGCTGCAATGTACATCGGAACCAAGAGGCTGTATTTACCATAGAAATACAAATCAAGTAGGCCAATATTTATTCAAGTATTTTTGGTAAGGATTGTGGATATTCTGGAGAGGAACGCATGTGAGGATTCCAAATGAGCACTTAGAGAAAGTGATGTGCTGGGAATTATTAAGTGTCCGATGCTACTGTATAACTCTCAGCACAGCAGATGATTCACTTCCTGAAACTGTGAGGTCAATCTAGCAGGAGTGCTTTAGGCCTTCAGGTCAAATTAATGCAAAAGGAGATTCTGCAAAGAGCTAAGGAAATTAATAATAATAATTAAAAATAAATAAATAAATAAAGCACAGTTGTGTGATTTTAGCTCAAACGAGGAGGTAGTTGGAGGAGCATTTGTTTTTTCTCCAGCTCCAGAAGCGCTCAATCGTTTCTCTCCCTCAAATCTGATTTTGTGCTTTTGACAATTCACAAAAATAAAATTATGCCACTTAATCTTTCATATTATACTTTTTTTATTATTGTTCATTCAAATTCACACACAAGAAAAATCTTGCCTCATTTTAATTTGTCAAAACTAACACTTTAAGACAAAGAGCCTCAAAGAAATAAAATTAGTTTCACCAGAACATGCAAAAATGATATTCAAGTGCTTTATGTACCAATTTAAGTTCTTTCATTAACCGTTATTAGTTTGTGGATTAAATATTTTGAATGTGAGTGCATTGCAGATTTCCAATAAGTTATTGCTGTTTGTGGTCAACTGGCTTTATGCACAGCTGCACTACTTCCTGAACTTAAGCCAGCTCCTTGTTTCCTGTCTGCCATTATTGGACAAATTGATTAATTCAGGTGTGCCTGACCTCAGTAGTCACGGCAACAATAATCAGACACACCTGAATTAATCAAGTTTGGCCAATTATGACAGACAGGAAACAAGGAGCTGGCTTAAGTTCAGGAAGTAGTGCAGCTGTGCATAAAGCACATCGAAAACGTGTGCACATCGAAAACAATGATATACAAAGAAAATAGAGGTCCACACACTGAAATTGCAGCTCCAAAGAGTTTATTTGCCAAACAGCGCAACAAGTCATGATGTCATGTTGTTCAGTCAGATCTTCATTTTCACGTGCCTGAAGAAGATCTGACTGGTCGAAACTTTGCGCCTTTTAAACTCTATGGAGCTGCAATTTCAGTGTGTGGACCTCTGTTTTTTCGTCATCTATTAAACATAAACATTAAAAAATTGTTGATTTTCGCAATGTATTAGTAAATGCTGAAATTTAACATGAACAATATTAACAAGGAAAAATGTTTCTAATGAATTTATTCATCTTAGTTCACGTTAACTAGTTAACAAATGGAAACTTAATGTAACGTGTTCCTAAACTATTTTATTTCTGTGGTCTGGTTATAATCAATATACAATCATGTTATCCATCAAAAATAACTGTAAAACAATTATTTCAAGTCAATTATTTCAAAAGACTTTTTGCAATTTGATTATGTAATCCAGATTACACAGCCCGTTACTACCCAACACAGTAAAGGATGAGTCCAAAATAAAAACCCTTCAGGGGCCTTTCAATGCTTTATGGAAAGTTGACTGGGTTATTTGAGGTGACTGTGGCTGGACTTTCCATGGCACTGATTCTATTCACATGGGCAGAGAGAGAAAGCGGAGTGAAATTGGCATTAAAAGCTTACTCATTCTGCCATTTGCCCTCCTGCCCATTAATTTCCTGATTAATCAAAGAATGACAGGAAACACTTGAGCAAAGGTAGTCCAGGAGTGGATCCAAGGCTAAGGCATGGAGACCAAAAACACACTCTATGCTGGCATAAAATAAGATGCATTAAGAGAAAATTAGTTTATCCATTCTAATGACCCACATTCATTTACAAAATGGCCATAATTATTCCTAATGAAAATAACCACTAGAAAATCTCCAAAGTCACAGTTTCCAGAAATAAGAAAAACCCCAGAGTCCAAGTGAGTCTACAAGTAAGACTGTTTTTCAGAGGAAAGCTTTAAAGCCTTTGGTTTCTTTCAACAGAAACATTATGTGAAATATTCCCTATTGGGCTTCATATCTAAGGCATTTAGTGTTTGATGATACAGATGATTTCTCTGGAATCATCTGAACATCTTAACTTGACAACATTTACAAACACAGGATAAAAACAAAAATCTGACATACTAATTATTAAAAGCTTGCATTTCCTCCCCAAAAGTCATCGAGTTTGTATTAACAGACAAAGCACAAGTATAAAATGTCTTTCTGACATGCAAATCAAATACAGACATACGTAGCCAGCAAGAAAAAAAAAAAAAATCCTAATCAAGTCTGTGCGCTTTTAAATACAGGGCGACATGAACCTGGCATGAGAAAGACCATTCATTTAACGCATTCGTGGCATTATCGATTTTTCACAGCTGCCTCACCTGTGTGTCTTCCTTTGTCGCTTTCACTTATTTTTAATCCACTGCCCTTTAAACCCAGGAACAAAACACAACATCTAAAATATAGAATGGAAAAATCTTAATAACTTTTATTAATCCTGATATGGAAACTGGTTTGCCACGAACCATCAAACACAATACACAACAAACAGACAAATATCTAAATAATTCTGCATTAGGTGACTAATAAACCCTGATTAGGAGAGAAAACAAAAAATCAATTTCATAGCTAAAAAAATAATAATAATAAAAAAAATTAATGAACACTATAAAAGACAAGAATAATTTTAACAAAACAGTGTTTACAAAGCTTATAGGACCATACAGTGATATATAATTTAGTTTTTCAGATGCAATTTCTACTCAGGGTCACAGAGTTTTAAAAGATATATTTGTGTGGTAAAATCCAATAATGGTGTGAAGTAGTTGAAACTGCAAAACTAAGAGCAAAGGAATGACTTAACTTTTTATTGAATTAACCAATCAGTATTACCCTTGATCAGCTCTACCAAATGTGGATGTTTTTCCACTAAGAAACGAACATTGTTATTATGTTTTTTTGTGTTTTTTTTGTGTGTTTTTATTGATACTGTGAAGTTTCTTTGACGCAATCTATATTGTGAAAAGTGCTATATGAATATAATTGACGAAAAAAATACACTAAAATAATCCAGTCAACATAGACCCAATCAATACATGGATAATGTCAGCCATTTGCTGTGACAAATATTTTTATTACATTAGTGTGAGCAATTTGCTTGGATTTAACAGTGAGGTAACAAAAGGTAACACAAAATTTCAAACGGACCACAATGTTCTCCACGTCGAGGAACTTATTTTAGCATCTCCTTTCCACAAGCCAAATGCAATCCATTTCAAAACAAAAAGGACCTCATTAAGGCCTTAAAAATAAGTAAATAGTTTTATATAGCAGCTTGAGCAAAATATAAAACTGTGCTAAAGGCTGCATTTAAAGAACAGGTCACACAGGGAAACTTGTTTAAAGAATTTGTGTAAAATTGCATCTAAAATGGGTCACAAGTTGAGCATGTCAATTACCTTAAGCACTGAGAAAAAACTTTTACATGTTTAACCTGATTAATTTTCCTAACTATGCATTTAAACGGCAACTTTTTTGACTTTGAACTGACTTTTATAAGCTCACAGTATGAAGTAGTATTGTATTTAATTTGTATATAGTCTGTGGTAAAGCATTCAAGCAAGAACTCCAATGTACAAGTGCATAGGGCTATTAAATTAATTTGACGAAATGCAAACACAGAAATGAAGAAGCCTTCATGAGGTTATACATGCATTTTCTCAAATAGAAACACAAAATCTTGGACGAGAACCTCCTTTCCTCACCCAGGACACTGAAGATGGGTCATGGATGGGATTTCCAGCATGAAAATGACCCAAAACATACCATTCCTGGCAACAAAGGAGTGGCTCAAGAAGAAGCACATTAAGGTCCTGGGAGTGGCCAAGCCAGTCTCCAGACCTTAATCTGAAAATCTAAAAATCTGTGAGCAAAAACTTCGAGGTTCAAAGCGGCAGCCAATAAACCTTAAGGATTTAGAGAGGAGAATGGAACAAAATCCCTCCTGAGATGCGTGTAAACCTGGTGACCACCCAAAAGAAGCGCCTTACCTCTATGCTTGCCAACAAGGGTTTCTCCACCAAGTACTAAATTATGTTTTGCTTGGGGATCAAATAATTATTTCACTCACTGAAATGCAAATCAATTTATAACCTATATAATGTGTTTGTTTTGTTTTTTTTTCTGGATTTTTTGGTTGATATTCTGTCTCTATCCATTAAAATAAACCTAACATAAAAATTATAGACCCTTCATTTCTTTGTAAGTGGGCGAACTTACAAAGTCAGCAAGAGATCAAATAATTATTTCCCCCACTGTAGGTACCATGAAAGTGGCTCTGGTTTTAGCGGTGTTCATCACCATAGTAACTTATAGTCCACCATGGCTAATCTCTGATGACTTTTTGAGAAGCTGTTTCATACCTATAAAATTTGACAACTGCTCTCTCTGCCAGCATCAACACATATTTGAATGTTCGGCTGTGATCATATTGGCTTTGGTTTAAGGTTTAATAGAGCCAAATTGTTGCCATTTAGGATTAAAATCGTTTAACGATTAATCATGCAGAATTCAGATCTAGTGCTGCTGAGTGATCATTTGTTAGAGATTCAAAAACAGTAAGATGTGATTTTGAATCTGTTATTACTAGACTTGATTTAGTTTTAGCCAATGCCTTCTGTGGATACTGATAAAAATAAACTGATCTAATTTTATTATATTATAAAAACCCATATACAATAACATGTATATACAACTGTTACCCTAGTATGAAACGCTTAATGGCCATCACTCTTGCCCAAGGAGTAGACCTTAGCACTATGAATGGAAGGAGCGTGCCACTATTCCTTTTATAAGCTATCAACATGCAGATGGGTCTCAACCATAATTACATTTCAGTCTGTTCCTGACACAAAGCTACTATATACATTAGCTTCGGAAGACTTGGAACATAAATACAGTCGTACAAACCACTTTTATGGTGCTTCATATTCATTAAAATTACATGGAACTGAGTAACCAAATTAAAAATGTCCCTATGGTGTTCCAGAGAAGAAAGTAATGAAGGTTTTGAATAACATTGTTGTGAATAAATGTTGACAGCATTTAAAACTGATTAAATAGAGAAAGAATAAGTAAAAATCAGATCATCAACTCTTTTCAACTGTAGTGTGGTAAAGGTTTGAGGATAAGACTGAGGTCTCTGTGAAAGGATTGAATACACACCCGTGTGTCATACTCCAGGACAAAAGGAGGGATGTCGATCTGCTCAGGGTGGATGCAGGTGAAGAGCTGCTGCAGGTTCTCTATATGATGGACTTTCTCTTTAAGACCTGATACACTAAAAGTAGTGAAGAACCACGTAGAGACCTGATGGGAATCATAAATAAAAGCTTTAGATGGACAGAGATGGAACTCTTCATGAAAAGGGTACAAAATAGGACACTCCTCCCCTTATTCTTTTGTAACAAATGGGCAATTAAACACATTGCTTAAACTGAACTGGAGGTCAAACTTATGAGCATTTATACATGAAAATGAATGACTACAAAATTGGTGTTTAATTGCCAACCGCAAACTCTGCTGCTCCTAAAGCTGTTGCTGTAGTCTGTGTTTTCAACATTTTCTCCTGACTCATCCATGATAAGGCTTGAACACATTTCACACCTGGGATTGTTATAAGGCTTGAGCATTCTCTGACTGAAATGGATGCACTTTAAATTAAACAATTATTTGACACTTAATTGCAGAGGTTCCTCTACATTTGGCGTGCACAAAGCATAATTGTTGAATAATTTCACAAATGAAAGCAAAGTCTGGCAGGGGCAACATGCTCTCATAAGCACTTCAATTACCTGAATAGGTTCCGTGGAACACTATGGAACACTTAGTGCGGGCACATCATGAATCTCAATGTAGTCTCAAAAACGCTTTTCAACAGATTCAGTTACACACAAGCACATAGTCTTTTTTAGTCAATGCAAAACATGTGGAGTTGACCGCTGTGAATCAGACCATAGGCCCGTACAAGCTTGGAAAGAAAAGCTCAAAATGAGATGAGCATCTAGTTCTGACTTTAATGGACTTACATCCAAGTTGATGATTTGATTACATTTACCTTGGAGCGAAACGTCGGGTGAACGAAGTAGAAAGCCCTTAGGTTTTTCTTAAACCTGAAAACACAAAGGTAAACCTGGTTTTAAAAACATTATCAACACATCCAACCAATTACCAATTACACAAACAGTGAATTCCTCGGGCGCATTGGGCTTTGAAACGATTACTGCCTTAACAAAAACAATAAACCCATTAGAAATAGAGATAAAGTGCATTTTATAGGAACGAGCAAATGTTGGTGAATTAAGTCCAGCGGGGCAGCCACATCCAAGCCGCACGCTGTTGGCCAAAACACACAGATGAATAGAGATATGGACTGCCAAAATCGGAGAGGTGTTCCAAAAGCGCAAGGGACGTGTCTGTCAACCTTTCCCCTTTCCCACGATGGACACGGCCCATTCAGTCCAAAAACCTTGAGCATGGGGTCACAAGGAGTGATAGCATCACCGACTAGCTCAGCTATAAATATGGACGTGATTGCTTACAGAACCGCATCGCTCTTGCTCATGAATTATGACTGTAAAACACTTTCTTAGTACAATATCTTATAAATAATACAATTATGATCTGCTCTGCTGATACCTCATAATAAATGACACGAGTCAAACTGGCCTGGCTCTCAGAGTTATGAGTCACACTGATCTCCACCATGTACGGAAAGTGTGAGGGACTGGAGCTGGAGAGCACTTCTGCTTTTTATTTCAAGACTGTGGTTTCCTCTGAGTGCATGCTGAGAAGTGTCCCCCCGAATAAATGATGAATGCCTGACCTACCAATCACCTACCACGGTTTTGACTTTTAACAAAGACTCTAACTTCTTTGCTAAGCCAGGGAAACCAAAATCATGAGGTCTGTTTGACTAAAAGAACAATCGCCATTCTGTGGTGCTACATCCATGCAAGTGTGGGCCTCTGGTGGTAGTATGTTGACTTTCTCATTTGATGGGTGAGAGGAGAACATTGAGACCTCATTTTTACAAGGTGTCAAAGTCACTGCAATCACTCTCAGTGTTCTAACCTTGATAACTAGAATCCCCTTCAAAATTTCCCAAAGTGCTCTGAGCAAAACAAATATTATTCACTTTCCTTAGTGAAACCAATCAACTCAGACACATTTGAGCGCCAACTTAGAGTAATAATTCAGAGAAACAGCAGGTAAAACAGAGGAAACATGACTCAGCATTGTGTGGATTTACTTCAAATTACTTTCCAAGCTGGTGATAACCAACAAAAGGGTTGAGTATCTGTGTATAAATCTTCATGACATTCATCGAACAGGAAGCCCAAGATATAGACATTCCCTTATTATTACCATAACATATGTGGTGTTTTGGGGTTTGAAAAGACAGTACTGTTTGGCACAAGAAACTCATAAAAACAAAGTCAGCAAGCCAGTATTTATATGAAACTGTGATTAGCTTTTCCATGGGAGTCTGTGAGTTATGGTTTGAAAGAACACCTCAGCCAAAACTGGGTCAAGTCATCTCGAAAACATTGTAAGTTTGTAGAGAGCAGGAAACGTGGGTGGTTTGCAGTATCTCTAATGGAACAGAAATAACTCTTACTTGGCTTCCACAATGTCATAGAGCTTCTTGAGAAAGTCCGTGTCCAGGTGGTTGTGTTCACCAGTGAGTGTGTGGAAATACACCATCACGTACTCTTTCACTGTGATATGGTCCATCACGTGGATGAAATAAAGCAAAGCCTAACACACAAACACAGAAATTAACTTAGCTATGTAAATGCATAGAATGCATAGTTGCATAGACTTCCATAGACATAGCATAGACCATATCATAGCATAGACAGAAAACTCTTGGACTAAATCTAAAATATCTTAAACTGTGTTCTGAACATGAAAAAAAGTCGGCATGTTCCTTTAAATGAAAATTTTTCAAAGTTTTCAGTCTAAATGCAGATCTCAAATAGAAATCTTATACATCTAAATTGTTTACATCTAAATAACCATTTAGACCCAAACATTCTTTTAAACCCGCCTTATGTAGGTTGACCTTTCACCAGGTTAGGCAGCATTTGTTGTTAAATTTGGCAATTAAATATGGTATACTGTAAGATATACTGAATACAGGGCAATTGGTCAACTGGATTTTCTCCTGTCATGCAGAGAACATGACAAATGGAAGTATGAGGATTTTCTCTTTTACCTTCTCCATATCAATAAGTGTAACTGGAATATTCCTGCCGACAATAACCATGACCGTTCTACCACACATATCAACACCTGAAAATGAGAAAAATGCATCATGATTCATGACAGAGCTATATTATGAAAGGATGTTTCCTAACAGCTATTATAAAGTGTCTGAGTCCCTAACCCTAAATGAGCCTCAAAGGATGGGCAGATGGTCAGGAAGGACACAGCTCCCTAGTTTGATCCCTCTGCTGACAGCATTCTCATATGTAGCATATCTGAAGAAATGCGTTAGACATTTCAGCCTCACCCTGTTTAATGAACTCATCCAGCAGAACTGAAAGAGTTATGTATATTGAAATAAATGCTTTGTATTTTATTATGAGAAACATCTGGATGTGCATAGCCATTTGTTTTAATATAGTCCACCTTCACATGGCACAGTGAACATGCATGTTTAGGTGTACAGCTAGAGAAACTCTGCTCCCCTTTGGGAAAGTAAGTAAGTCTGCAGTTTAAAAGAAGAAATTAAAGATTTAATTTAGCAAGACAAACAGAATGCGTACAGTCTGTGGTAAATTCATTTGAAGTTTTGAACTCAGAGAAGTGAACTTTGACACTATCTGAGGTAAGCAAAAAAAAAAAAAAAAATAGATGATGATGATGAATATTTATCAACACAGAAACCGTTACTTTGGTGGTTATTTTTCATCCTGAAATTGTGAAACGAGAGAAATGGATTACAGAACCCCTGATGTTAAGCTCAATGAGGCAGAACAAAGGTTTCCTGCCCAGAGTGCAAACACACAGATGGAGAGAACACAAAGTCCACACGTGCATAAAGATATACAGAGATACAGCAACACAAAGAGAACATGTGACCAAACAAAGACCATATCATACTACTACAATAACACCAACATACATGAACTATGCCTGTAAAAGGATTAAATACTTTAATCAAATCAATTGATATGGCTTTTAACTAAATGTTTAATTTAAAAAAAAACTCAAAAATCCACCTTAAAACCTTGCAGGAATTACAAAATGATAAAAAAAACATGCTTTGCTTTTGAGAAAATCCCTTAATATGAAATGTACATATGGGTCAGTCCATGATTAAATGAGCGAATTTGTCAATGCTATTAATTTATGTAATTGACTGTACTAAAGGTATTGTGATAAATTGACAGCTTTACAATTAAAACACACATTATGAAAATACAAGAAAGACACTCAAAGAGAGAAAGACTGACCGGTCTGATATAGTGCCTTTAATGCTGCTATGTCTGAGAGGTCCTCTGCTCGAGCTCTGCAAAGCCAGCGGTTATAACTGTAAAGATACCCAAAACTAAGGCTTCACATCTAGGTAATTTGCAGTGATGTACAAATAACAAACATATGAGTATATGGTTCTCTAATATAATTATGTCTGTAATGAAGTATAAATGCTTCCTTAGTTTGTATATACAACTAAACATGGCTGACAGTTTTTAGGATGCTGTTTGTTCTGCCAAGCTTCCAGTAACTCAAACATTTGCCATAGTAACCAAAGTTTCACTGTAGGTAGTACAGAAAAACTGTGGTGACTCATTAAAAAAGTAATTAAACATGATGACAGGAAAGCTTTTAAAAGCTTCTTACTAGGGGTGGGCAGTATGACCAAACACATTTTGAATAATTTTATGAGGATTTTTTTTTTCTTCATAGAAAAAAAAAAAGTATCTTACATGAAAAGTAGCTTAACACATCATACAGCCCAGCCATACTTCTGTACAGTACTGTTAATAACTACAGTATTTTCTTAGAAGCTAATATGGTAAATATTTGTAAGGGGTTTGTAGTTGTAAAAGGCAACATTATAATGCGAGAACAAGACATCTTACTTCCGTTGGTGCTGTTTCTGCTGAGCTGCTTCTGAAATTTGGCCCTGAAGGATGAGTTTACGCTGCTTATCCACATCCCCTTCCATACGAGCAAATGCATGACTTCCTACCAGCCCCAAGTCAGATTCCAGTGAATCGTCCCCAGAGTCATCTGCAGAAATTAGATTAATATCAGTATTGTGAACTTATTACCATGTATTCATGCACAACACAAAGTTGTGGATATTCAAAGAAAAGCGCAACCATTGCGCCATAAAAGTGTGCTGAAGCACAAATGCATTTGCTGTGATAAACACACACACAAAAAAAATCTCACACACTTGGAATGAAAATTACCCGGTTCTATGAGCACTACAATGTGGAACATTCCACCAGACGTGGCCTCCCACCCTCAATTAGAGCTGGGAAAGACAGTGGTGTGTGTGATGCACAGCCAGGCAAAACATAAAAATAATCCTCATCTGTTATTCTTGTTTACATGTGTATGCCAAATCTCCAATATGGGCCAACCTTAGACATATCTGAACAGACTTGAAAAGAAAGTCCAGTCTGAACAACAAACTAAACTTTTCTTATTTCCTCAGCTCAAACACATGGTCACGTCAGTCAGTATTTCTTCAGTTTGTAAAGTTTTTAATTGAACACATTTACCTTATACACTTTTTAATCAACAAAACAAGAGAGGCTCATATATTTTTATATAACTGTATATATAAACAAAAACAAAAAGAGCAGAAGAAGATTACAGTTTTGTAGCAGGAAGTACAATAGTCTATTTCTTTAGCCAAAAATGAAAGAAACATATTTGACAGAATGGTAGAGACACTAACAGGTAAATCAGAGGATCACAGCCAGTCAGCTGCTAGCAAACCTACAGCGACTTATTAGACACAGATGTCTCCTGAAGATTATCTTTGCCCAGAATCATTACAGTATATTGAAGGAAAGAATGAGATTATGTTGTTGTAATGCAACGGTCCTTTTATCATCTGCCTCACTGAACCAGAGAGCACGAATGCTGGCTTCTAGCTGAAATTTATTTGGATTTCAGGAGCACATCGCCACAATGTGAGATTAAACTTTGTGTAAGACAATGATCTAATCAAAAAAGGAAATTGTAAACAATTAAATAGAAATATATCCATAGCACAGCAAATGAAGGAAAGAAAGATGTTTAAATGTTTTTTTTTTTTTTTAATATTCTATGGTAAATGAAGAAAGCAATGAATATAATGGCATTACCATCTGACACACATCCATAGCATACAGCACCGCTTTTTGTGAGGGTAATAAGAACATGAATAACAAAAAGCATAACTATAAAATAAATAAATAAATAAATAAATGGGCATTAAGGGAACTGGGCAGAAAAAACTGCCCAGAAAAACTAAGGCAGATTAGGGAAGTGTGTGGTGGTTTGAGGCATGCTTTGAGACCTTTGCAAGACTTCATAGACTAATCCATAAGAGCTGGGCTGCATTAGTGAAGGACAAGTCACCTGCTGTCTTTAATAATACTCTAAGAATGACAAGCAGACCTGCATCAAAACGATGAAAGGGCATATATGAGGACAAGAGTTTGAAGAGATCAGCCAGATCAGTGACAGGGTGCGGCAAAGCTGGGTTGCAGACATTAAAAATGTGTCCTTTAATGTCTTTCCGAAAGACTGTATAAGAACAAACACTTCTTATCCTCATAAAAAAACAAAAAAAACAACAACTCAGTTTTGGCCCAACCTCAGACAGAAATAAGTAACAGGACATTTATGAAATGTGACTAAGTTTAGAAGCATACTAAACTTTCTGTACTGCACATAATCTGCTTTAGAAAGGGCCCAACACTGAACCTTGTGGTATTCCATTCCCAAGTATGTTGAGTAAGGGGCTTAGTGTTTGAGTCAGGTTCCTGATCACCATGTGGGATTTATTTAACTGTAATGACCAGATAACGAAGCATTATACCTCTTGTGTTATGTGAGAATAAGGGAATGCGGAGTGATGCAAGAGATATTAAACCAACAGCTTTGTAGGTTGAGTGTCTGGGAAAACAGTCATCATTCAAAAATTAATACAAAAGATAAATTAATCAGGTTTTTAAAATAAAGTGCAAACACTGTGGACCTTTAAAAACATTGTTCTGTTTCTGTTTGAGCAACCCAACAAGCCTGAAACAGTGGCTAAACCAATGGTGCGAGTTTAGTGTTGGACTTAATGTCTAGCTGAGCAATAGCACTTTGAAACTTTTTATCAAGTTGGCACTTGTGATGGCACAGTGTCACAGAAGGTACTAAAACTTCATATTAACAAGGAAGTCTGGAAGCTGTTGTGCCACTTCAATATGCAGAGGTAAGTTTGGTTAAGCGATCATGTTTGTTCAGATAAGAACTACATGTCATTCTGAATAGCTCACGGAAACATGAAAGCGAGACTGATTAAGCAGAATATTAAGGTTATTCTGCTATAACATAAGGTTATTCAGAATATTAAGATTAACTTAGAAAACGCTAACAGACCTTGGGCTGCCTTTCCATGTCCTGGTTTAAAGCATTCTAAGACAGGCAGGAAAGTGCAGTGTTTATTGACATGGGACCTGGCTTATGTGGCCTGTTTGAGTTGGATCAACAGCTCTAGTGAGACTTGATAACCTTAACACAGCTGGCTCACAGTCCTCATGATATAGGCTTGAAATAATGGCAAGCCAACAAATTTAAACAAGTTTAATCTCCCACCAACAAATAAATATACACTTGTGTTCGGAGTGCTATGGCAAGCAAGCCAAACATACACTCATTCTCATATAGGCATGTTAACATTGGTGTCTATAGACGCACACACTTGACTTTAGCTGTATCCACACTGGGCCTATCAGGGACAAAGAGACTATTCCAACTAATCTGAACTCATGAAACACCCACAACAGAAAAAGATATAGCGAGGGAGAAAAAAAAAAAAAAAAAGTCTCATTCAACAGCTCTAGATCTGCTGCATGCTGCTAATAACCCTTAATCTATCACACTATTGGGAGAACATTGTTTTTCCATGCTGTAAATTAAATATATTACTGCAGAATATAATCTCTGGAACATCTATTAAAATACTACTACTACTACTAATAATAATAAAAATAAATCTCCTTTACATGACACAGTGTTTATGAGAAATGCATGTCGTCCAGATAAATGTTCTCCAAACTTTTTGGCAAACATGTATTCCTACTGGCTGTTTGGTAATCTGAAGAAATATACACAACCATTTAAAAGTCTCAGTAAGTAAGGTCAGTAAGATTTTTCTTTTAAATAAATAAATAAAGACATACTTTTATTAAGAATGCAATATAATACTGGAAGTGGCAGTATTAGAAAAACAATTACATTACAGACATTTAGAGCAAAGAAATGTATAATAGGCCTATTACAAAATATTCTAGTATTTCAAACAAATGCTGTTCTTTTAAACTTTCTTTAAAGCTGACTTTGGGGCAAACACAGAGAACTAAAATGAGGATCAATAGAGTGCCAAAGTTATGACGTCACTTTGTAGGCCAAAATGCGGAAGTGAGTTAGCATTTCAGCACTTCAGGTTCCCTCGCCCTAAAGTCTATGGGTTTTTTTAATAGGTTTTTGTTAAATCGCCTGAAAAAAGTTCTGTGGTTAAAAAAGCCTCTAAAAATAGTTTTTAACGTTTTGATCTAAAACACACCAGTTATAACCTGCTTATGGTTTTTTAAACTTTATTGTGTCTGCTTGTGTTTTTTTTTAAACTTTATATAGGCTTCAAAATGACTAAAATTTTAGATTAACTTGTAAACATTATCTTGATAGACAAAACATGCAAGGGTCACAACTCTTTTCTTCGACAGTTCTTATTTTTTGCGGTTTTACAAAAGTCAATTGAGAAAATGCATAGCTTTTCGATTGAGGGAACCCATGCGCCGCTAACTTCCGAGTTGTCCTACAAAGTGATATCATTACTTCGGCAATCAACATCAGCGTGGCGTTTTTGAGATGCCGAGAGCTCTACGTACGCGACTAACTTGGACTTGACGGAGCTTCACGAAATCACGTCTTGACAGCTTTATTAGACAGGTGAGAAAATGTACATAAAACAAATCAATTTTATATAACATTAGCTCAACATGATGAAATGTTAGAATATGGTCAGTATTTTATTCTAAATGTTGACCTAGCTTACTGCTAGTTTCGTATAGCAAACGAACTAACACGTAGTATAACATTATAACTTTCAAAACACATTTAAATGCTGTTTAGTATGATAGTGTAATGTTAGACCAAGTGAAGCAGTGTTGCGTTCCCTCACAAGTATAATTTGTCTAATAAACTGACCTGTGAGTAATCCAGCACTTGTGGGCAGTTCAGTGGAATTAAATGTCCTTATTCCTTTATATCCGCAGGACTCGTGTGTAATAACTCTTCTATATAATAAATAATAAATAGTCTCTTTAGCAATCACGACCTGCTTCATACCACTGTAACGTCAAAAAATCAGCTTGACAGCAAGTGCCATCATTCAGCTCATCACTGCATCATCAACCTACGCCTTTGTTATTGTTGGAAACTGCGCCCTCTTGTGGCGAAATTTGTTTTTACATATTGTGCCTTTATTCTATCTATTTTTGGTCATAAACTTGTCTTATTCAAAGGTCAAAGTTCACCAAACTTGCATGCTATGAATGGAAGTCTGTGGAATGAAAAGTACAGTGTGACAACCCCTTAATGGCTGCTGAAAATTCAGATTTGCCATTAGAGGAATAAATTATATTGTAAAATATGTTAAAAAAGAAAAAGTTATTTTAAATCGCAAAATCACAATATTACTTTTGATCAAATAAATACAGCCTTGGTGAGAAGAGACTTCTTTCAAAAATTAAAAATATTTTATCTGAAAGATATACAAATATGTTACATTGAAAAATTATTTGAGCTCACCTTCTAGATTTCCAGGCTTTTCAGCAATGCGGATCTGTCTCTCTGGGACTACGGGCTCACCCTCAGAATTGCCAATGTCGGCAGGGAGGAGAGGGAGAACGATTCTCTCCTCTTTCTTTGAGCGTGGGTAATACAACGGCATTAACTTCCTGTACACTGGCTGGAAACAGAAATCAATAACAAACACATCAAGATTCAATCAATTATTCATACACAGACTAAAAAAGCAGAAACTTGATACAAATCAACGTTTTAATTTAGCATCTGTTGAAAAGGGGCATAAATCTCCACTGCATTGTGCTGTAGTTCACACTCAGGTTACAGCAGTTTCACCCACAAACACAACAAAAGTTGGTCTTTAAATAAAAATGTCATAATAATATGAGAGAGCACAGTCGAGAATTAAAGGATGAAGTGAAAATGAAACAGCACACACCTCCTCAACATCCGAAACAGCAAACACCACTGTCTCAATGTTTTCACCATGATTCTCTAGAAATCTACGAACAGTCCCTGGAATCATAAATGTGGGGGAAACACATTTTGATAAGATCCTTCTGAATTTCTTTAGTTTGATGTACTTGCTTTATATAATACAAGTAAAAGTAAATTACTTAAAGCTATATGTGTGGCGTCCTCAAGTGGATATGCCCTTTTGACCGTGCTGACCACACACAAACCCACAGACACCATGGCATGTTCCCTGCGACAGAAACAAAATCAACATACACGAAAATATTTTCTTTTGACTTCAGTTATACATGGTTTACATCAGTCAGTTAGTTGGTTAAAAAAAATCATCCATTTAGCAGCAGACATTTTTAATTTACTCAAAAATTGTGCAATGATCCAGCTTACTTGGCCAACTGCATGACGTTCCTGTAACAGCTGTATAGAGAACTCTCTGCAGCTGTCCGGTACTTGGCTTTATATTTGGGTCCAACTGTGTGAACGATAAAACGTGCAGCCAAGTTGAAACCCTCTGTCATTTTTGCTTCACCGGTCCGACATCCTGGAAAAAAATTAGCACTGCCATATAATTTACACTCCAACAAAATGATGAGATAAGATTTGTCCCAAAACTGTATAACAAACAGCACTTAATAATATTAAATCTTTAATAGTTAAATAAAATTTTGATGCATGACAAGTAACAGTTCTTCATCTGCTAGCCAGTAGCACCCTCTACCTTTCAGTTTGAGTAGTTCATCTCGTAGTTCAGGTCCTGCATATCTGTGGATACTGTCTGAAACAGGGTTCTTGTCCGTTAGGGTCTCATTGCTGGTATTGACGATTGCAGTGCAGTTTAAAGATGCCACATCCCCATTACTATAAAATGAGGGGATGATATAACCCATATCACATACAGAAGAACATCCAGAAAATCATATAAGGTGAGAAAAATCTATGAATACAAACATAGCATTATACATGCATACATATATACATACACGCATACAATAAGACAGTATAACGTGCGTCATTGATTTCATAACGAGTTGTCCTGATAAACTCGCCTATGTGGAAAGATTGTTCTTTGATCGCTTTCTGTATAATTCGTTCACAAATTAAATATGATTTTTTTTTCATCCTACTAAAAGAAACGATGTGAAGTCATTTGTACATCCGAACACTGATCAACTGCCATACTTGGCTCATTTGCAAGCCATGATATCTCTTGAGGAAAAACTCAAATCACGCTTGTACATTCATACTTCCTAGCTCATTTACTGATGGGCGAGCCAAATTCTCTGCGATAAAGCAGAGAAAGGGGAGGTTACCTTTCCTCCGTATGACATCATACGGCGAAGATTCAAGATCAGCCCATCTGAGCTTTCATTTTCTCAAAGGCAGAGAAAGACTCGGTTTGCAACAATTGAAATTTCTAGCCCTTATCCAGGCTAGGGGAACACATATTAATGTTAAAAACCTCAGAAAGTGAAAATTTCATGTCAGGGGACCTTTAAAAATAATTTTTGGTAACTGAAACAGAGCTGAAATTAAATGAAAAACTTGAAGACTTTTTTTTATTTTTTTTAAGGCCCGGTTTCACAAACAGAGCTTAGATTCAGCCAGGATTAGTCCTTAGTTTAATTATGACATTTAAGTAGCTTTTATAAACATGCCTTAGAAAAAAAGATTACTGGTGTGCATCTTGAGATAAAACAATGGTGCTGAAATACTGATTTCAGGATAAACCAGCAGTATAAACGGTTTGCTTTCTGATAAACCGGCTTAAACATGCATTTTAATCTGGGACTAGACTTAAGCCTTATCTGTGAAACTGTGGAAAGAAATTAGAAAGTAGAAATGTTACCCTGGAAACTAACTGAAATGTTTAAGTACTAAAGTTATAAAAAACTGAACTACTAAAAAAATAAAGATTATAAAAATTACTAATACTTTAAAAGTAAAAGCTCAAAATATTAATAAATGAAGAGTTCAGATGCAAAAGCCTCTAAGTGCCATTTGAAATTTTCTTCTAGAATGATCATTTTTATCAAGCTTGTATATTTAAGTTCAGTGATTTCACTTAAATGGCAATGATAATTACCTATTAATTGTTATTTAAGTGAAATTACTGAACTTAAATATACAAGTTTGACAAAAATCATAATTAAAGAAGAAAATTTCAAATGGCATTTAGAGGCTTTTGCATCTGAACTCTTCAAATACTAAACTTATACTAAAAGGGTACTATATACTACTATAATACTAAATAGTATTATACTAATACTAATACTAAAGGGTAACCTAAATAATACTAACAACACTAATAAATAATTGTTTTTTATAACATTAAGTGTTATTATTGTGCCATTTTATTTTCAACATAAAAATTAACAAACAACAACAATGGAAATACAATAAATGAAAGGATAAAGTCACTATGAACAAGCACAAAACAAAGTGCACTGCTGAATTCTTTTCCTGCCTGAACTTCCAGAAGGACTGGTTCATAGACTTCATAGAGAAGTTAAATGAAAAAAAATTCCCCTTCCTTAAAAACAAAGAGAAACTATGAATTTGATCCTGCGCCAACACAGCTACATCTATCAGAAAGCACAGCAAGGACTTCTCGGATGGTTGCATGTGACTGAGCTATAAGGGGGATTTGTGCGCATGAGGGAATGACTAAAGCGCTAAAGATCTGGTGCAAATAGCTAATGCAAAGAGCAGAGTGGGTGGAGAAAAAAAAAAGGAAAGGGTTAGCTCTAAATTATTAAACTCCGATAACAAAAGAAAAGCGTTTGATGCTTTGGCTTTCAGGGCTAAGGCTGAAGGTACAGCAAAAAAACAAACTATTAAGCAATAATATGTGCTTAAATAACTACAGAGGTTTGTGGAGAATCTGTGAAAAACACAAGATGAGGAATATCAATAGCAGCGTAAACAACACTCACAATAGTACAATCTTGCTGTTGATGTCTTGTCTGAAGGGGAAAGGGGAAGTTAAGGAGTTGACATGATTTGTCAGCGTGTCTTCCTCCTCCCTTGAGTGATTTTCTCCATCCACCTCATCTTGGACTCCCTGAGGCTGGTCCCATGTGTAGAGGCTCTGGACCTCCACAAACTGGGAACGAGCTCCCAAGGGATCCATGATGTTGCTTCACTGACAAATTTGGAACTGAAAGACACAGAGAAGCATTTACACACAAGACTGTAGTGTGACCTGGGCCATTTTAGCAATAACACATACAGATGTCAGCTGCAAATGCATTTTACATATAAGCTTCAGTAAATCAAGGAAAATGAGTTTCCCTGCATATTCACTATATAAAATTCACAGGAGGAAAAAGTTCATGTGGCCGTCGTCAGATTGGGAAGTCACTCAAAAGGCTTTTTCACGGCGGCTTCAGTGAGGCGCAGTGGTTTATGGGATGAGTAGTTCCTTTGATTGGAATGGGTACACAGGCTTGTACCCTTGACTTTTTTTTGGATTTTCTCTTCGTTTTTTCATTCGAAATGATATGTTTTATGCTTAATAGTACAATTGTGGGAGGGGCGTCCGATAGTGTGATGTCAGATGGTCGAATGGCTCGATTTGAGGCAGGGGAAAACATTTAAGAACATTAAAACAAAAACACTAGATGGATTTTTATCATTACATTACGGTTGTACAGGCACTGCCAACACACATTTCAGTACAATCAACTTGAAAAAGTGCATGTACCATTATATGACCCTTTAAAATTAACCATTTAAATCATTTTAAGTCATCTCATAAGTTTGCTAAGGCCCCCTAGTGGGCCCTGGACCTCCTGACAACCACTACAGGGAAGTTTTCTGTTTTTCAAACCTAGATAAACATACCAGTTTTTTACACTCAATAACTCAGCATTACAAATAAAAAGTGGGTGTTTAAAATAAATGCCCTTTCAACCTTCCAAATTGTGACTAGAGCTGTAAAAGTTGTCAGCAATAATTTCAGCCTGGTGTAGTAGAAGCTGCAGTAAGAGGAGTGTAGTGTTTATGAACGTTTCAAGCACAACAGAGAGGCTATATCAGTGAAGACAGACTGGACTCCAGAAACAGATAAGCTATTCAACAGAAATTAGCTGCATGTGTAAAGGTCGAGTCCCCAAATTAGATTCCATCGACAACAACAAAGCAAGAGTTTGTTCAAATATATAAAAGTCTCAACTCGATTGCAATAAGCACATATAAACCACGCAGCACAATACTGCTTTAAGGAGAATAGAAAGGGCGAATATCGACTTGATGAAAATGCAACACATTGCAACCAAAATCAATCACAATGACGAGCAACCTACCAGATGTCCACTGGTGAAAAAAAACCCAAAAAACTATTCAGTCCTGCCTTCTGCAAAAACAAAACCACGTTAGCTCAAATTAATCCGTTAAAGACTGTGCTGGTAATCACTGTCATCCTCCTGTGCTTCCGCCTTTAAATAAACCATTGTTAAAAAGTTATTTGATCTGCTTGTGGTTAACACATCGTGTGTTTGCAACATTCAGCGAGTTTCCTGATCAGCTGATTCACGAGGAGAAAATTCATCACTTCCGGGATTTCAGCAGGGACCAGGTACAGTCGTCATGTTGTCGATCCAATACTATATCATAGATTTTAATCGACGTTCTACTGTCATCGCTAAATTAAAATAATCATACAAAAGTATAACGAATAAACAAATTTAATAAATGTTTTAATTATAACCACATTGCTAAGCCTCATGGACAGCAACATGACTTCACAGACCGAAGTAATCGAAAGTGTGCACATCATAAGAAGAAGAACAGATAAATAAAACACATAAGGAGTGGAAATAATTATGATTAAGTTAATTATATATTTTATTATGACATAAATGTCCATCAAAACGTAAATTCCTAAAATATTTTGTGAAGTGACATCGTGGGTCTTCTCGGTAGTCTACCACTTTTGTCTTTATCGTGGTTCTTCTCGGTAGTCTACCACTTTTGTCTTTATCGTGGTTCTTCTCGGTAGTCTACCACTTTTGTCTTTACTGGATGTCACACTTTGCGACTGGAAGCATGTTTTCTACATCCACAGAAGTAACATTTTCATAAAGGACATCTAGCTAATTGATAAAGCATGTAAGTACATTTTATATACACAGTGGCTTATTTTGTAACTTTCTAATACCTGTATTAAGATCTGCATTTATTGAACGAACTGCATGGGGTTCACGTTGTAAACTATGTTCGTCGTCGCATGGACCTGAAAACGTGGTGTTGCAGTAATAGTTGCTCACTTTTTAGGTTAAGCTTTCTTCAGTTTGTAGATTGCTCGTTTAATTAATTTACTTTATAACTGGCAATCCCAGCTTTTTAAAGGTTCTTATGGGTCTCATTTGGTCCAGCCGAATAACCTAAATATAATTGCACGAGCAACTTCACAACCACAACTCTGTTGATATAAGGTCTAATGCTGTCATCGAGATGAAAAATACGATTTAAAGTGAAGTGGCACTTGCCCCAAATCCGCTTTATAGAAAATGCATGTTTCTACATTACAATTTTGGGTGATCTGTGATCAGAGGTGACTGTATCTAAGTAATGTCCATATTTCAGAAATGTACTGTTCAAAGATAATATAAATGTGGTCAGTATTCATTTTAGGCATAATCAATGAGCTCCCTCAGCAATTATTACAAGTTGTGATCATAATGATTAACTGTTAGTGTTACATATAGAAATCTTAATCATTTATTTTGGCCACCACAAGTTCAATATAAAAATATAATTTCTGACAAGCTTTTGACAATATAATAGTATTTGGAGGAGAAGCATCTGATACACATACTATCATTTTGGGGGGAAATTCATGGCTAATATTGAGACAAATACTGTAAATGTTTATATGTTACAGATGTATTACATTTATTCATTACTCATTCATTACATACATTAGCAACCAATTATGAAATGTATATGCTTTGATATAAAACTCCTTTAATTTTATATGTAGCATGATGGACCTTTTCTAAATGTGTGTTCCATGACAAATTGTGCACAGTTTGCTAGATTAAGGTAGTGAAACATCTCACCCAAAGCCCTTACTGTTATTTTGTGTCTGCAGTCTCTGGTTTGCCATGGGGTTAACTAAGCAGTACTTGCGCTATGTGGCGAGTGCTGTATTCGGGGTGATTGGCAGTCAGAAGGCAAACATCGTGTTTGTGACCCTCAAGGGGGGTGAGAAAGGTCGATATGTCGCTGTGGGAGCCTGTGAACATGTCTTTATATGGGATATCCGCAAAGCTGAGAAGGTGTGTTTTTAAATATCACTTAGTACATTGACTTATTAGTTTATATACATTTCTGAATGTTGTACTCACCTTCTCTCCCCTTTAATTTATCAGGTTCTTATACTTGAAGGTAAAAAGCATGAAGTGACATACTTGTGTCCATCTCCTGATGGTGTTCACATAGCGGTGGGTTATGAGGATGGAGGTGTACGTATATTTAGTCTGCTGAATGGTGAAAGTAACATCTCCTTCAGTGGACACAAATCAGCTGTCTCAGTCATTCGATATGATGCACTGGGTGCCCGTCTTGTCACCGGATCAAGAGTAAGACTACAATTTTTGGTTGTTGACCATGTACATTTTTGCATGAACTAAAGACATTTTCTATGTTGTTGTGTTGCAGGACACAGATGTGATTGTGTGGGATATAATCAATGAGTGTGGTCTGTACAGACTCAAAGGACATAAAGATGCAGTCACGCAAGTTTTGTTCTTGGAGAACAAAAACCTGCTGATTACAAGGTAAATCAGCCTTTACATTTCATTTGAATGAATTCAACGCTCTAAAATACTTTATATTATTGTGTGATGGACATGAATGTTATATATATATATTATTATATCAATTAACCTTGACCTGCAAAACAGAGGTAAAGCACATTTACCGATTCACACATACTAGGCTTGCTACGGTAGTCGGTGTTGCCGATGTTACACGTGTTCACTTGCCCACCACGGCACAACAAAAAAAAACACAATTACGCAGTATCCGTTTTTTTCTGTTACCTGTTGACTAGCGTTGTATGATCATGGTCTTATTAATGTGAACACACACACACAAATACACACAAATAGAAAAGACGCGTGTCAGTATCGAGTTCTCTTTTGGGCTTGAACAAACCGTAACACACACAAATTATGCCAAAATGTAGGATTTGTCGAGTGTCCTCATAAGATCAGTCTTAAATGATTTAGCCTGTTTACTGTCACCCCACTTTTTTTTTAATAGACATGGAAATGCACATTTCGAACTTAAATGATTGTAATTCAAGAATGCTTTGGAATATAGATGTAAGATTGGTCTTGTTTTAAAGAAGACATTTGGCAGATTTTTGTAGAAGTGAAATAAATTAAGAAAGTGAAAATTTAGCAATACATTTCTAACATTTAGAATGTGTTTAGAATGTTTGCCTTTACAGAGACAATTACCTTTAAATGTAATAATAAAATATGGCTTAAAAAACGGTTAGTTACAGTCCTTGATTCTGATTGGTCAATAGCTGTGTTTTATTCATGATGAAACACGGCCATGACCGCTTCTCCCAACGTTTCTATGTATCACTACACGACACCTCTAGCTACCACTCTAGCTACCACTCAGGAACGTAAACATATTTTCTCACTGATATTGTGCAACTATTTTCTGGAAAATAAACATTTTAATTGCCTACTGCTTTGTTTTCTGAAACTACTTCATGCTGAATGAATAATTGTAACTGAAGTGTCTGGATTGGTCTCAGGACAGAGACGCAGTAATGAGCTGGTGTTGCTCCAGATCTAATTCTGTGTGTGTCGTGTTTCCTCAGCTCGAAGGACAGTTTTGTAAAGTGGTGGGACTTGGACACTCAGCATTGTTTCAAGACTATGGTGGGACATCGCAGTGAGGTAATTAAGATCACTCCTTCTGAAATAATTAGCACAACACACTAAATTAAATTTTTAGTCGCTTTGGAATCCTAGAGGGACATAGAGCTGGTGTAATTGCTCATAAGGTGTTTTCTTACTTCACTTTTGGAGAATAAATCTCCAACATTGTCTGTTAGTGTGGAAATACAGTGCAACTTTGTCCGATCTCTGTAGGTTTGGGGAATGGTCCTGTTGAATCAGGAGAACAGGTTGCTTACAGGGTCTGCTGACAGTGAACTCAGAGCCTGGGACATTCAGTACATCGAGGAGGTAAAGAAATATCACTAATGCTGGGTTACAGTGTATGTAGGTTGTAGGATGAATTACATTCCAGCAGTCTTGAATGTGATCTTTGGTCTTGTGCAGAGAATTGGCACTGATCTCATTTAAATGTGTTCTGAATAACACCAAAAGTGTCTTCACAGTGTAAAGAAGTGGGGGAACCACAGGAAAAGAAAGTCAGAACTCTTCTCGTGGATGAGGAGGAAGATGAGGAAGGACTTGATGAAGAGCCAGAAGAAGTAATATTTCTTCTATCCTGTTCACTCTATTCAGTTCATGTATTCAGTGGATGGCAGTGGATGACCTTCAAATGTTTACCAAAGATCTGCTTTCTGTCTACAGCGGATAGTCAGCTGTAAGAAAGTCGGTTCTATTCTGAGGGAAGCCAGAGACAGGGTTGTATCCTTGGTCACAGATGCCAAGGCTAATGTGCTAGCATGCCATGTAAGTATATTTCATTGTAACTTGACAGCTACGCAATAATTAGCCGAAAATGTACATTCCTTCTTTCTTATTCAAACTCTCACATGAATCAGTTCATTTGAAACAAAAGCCATTTACAGATTCATATGTAGTGCTGGGATGTCTTGATTGTTTTAGTGAATATGCTTGTTCGAATTGTGCGTAAATAAATCTGAATAAAAATGAAGATCTAGTTTGCTGTTTAGTTAGCTGCTTGCAATGTAGCTTAAAGGGTAACTAAACACCAAAACAACTTTTTTTAGTTAATGATCTGTAAGAATGGAGCTTCATAAATGCTGTTCATTGATTCGAGTACATTTTTTGACAATTGAGTATAAAGTGTTTTGATTTTCAAATATATGGTGTAAAAACGTCTGAGTGCTGCCCTCTTCAGGTTAAACGGAAAGCTCCTGCAGTAGGGGTACTTGCTGACGTAGCGAACTCTCAGACGCACTCTGTCACACCCTTTGGTGCGAGCTCACCACGCCCTTGGCAGCCCCTGGTATAAAAGCATCTGGTTCCGTCAAAACTACTGTAGCGAGTCAGGAGTTGGATTTATGAGTATTGAAAACGATCAGGATAGCATATAATAGCATCTAGTTAGCATAGCATTTATATAGATGTTTAGATTATTTTTGAAAACGACCAGGATAGAGTATTGTTGCATCTATTTAGCATAGCATTATATAGATAATTTAGATTATTTTGTGTAGCTAGTAGCATAGTACAGTTAGGATAGCTTCAAGTTAGCATAGATTTATCAGTGTTTAGTACAGTGATCAGGATAGTAACGGAATAGAGGTGGACATGGGCTTCTCCACACGCAGTGCCAAACACTGCTCGTCCTGCATGGACTCCTCCACCGCAGCGGC